GCAGTGTCCCAAGGTTTCGGGACTTCCTAGTTACGAGGGGAACATAAGAAGCCCCGATTCTTGCGGATAGGCTGTAACATAAATCTGACTACTCGTTGAGATAGTAGTCTAATTTCTCGCCTATCGTCTAGTCTACGCCCGAGAAGCGGGATAACGGGCGCCTCAAGTTTCCGTTATATTATAGACACCAGCGTCGGATGACGGGATAATGATACTCACAAGAGGTATCATCCCCGAATCCCAAATTTCGCTGCACTCAAGCGTGCCGGCCAACAAACGCAAGTTCTGACTCCTAGAGAGAGGGACCCGAGAGCCACACGATGCCACTCTGGTCGAATACGACCCAAAGAGCAAGGTATGAAAGGACTTTAAATGGGTACTCATCGTGATGGATGAGTCCCAGTGCGCCAAGACCACAAGAGCGATGTGGAAGCTGCTGGGTGGCGTCCTACAATGCTGTCATATGGAAGTTCAAGTACCACTGATATCATTAACTCATCAATCCGAGATTCTGACGGTACTATCATTCATGATCATCTTCCAGATCGCAACTAAACCTGATCGAGCAGATGGAGTAGTGGGCATCGAGACGCAACAGCCTACCCCTTTGCCATATATCACCTCTCGCCACAATACACCACTATCATTATATATCTTATTGCATCTCTCTCTCACTACTTCTCTCACTACTGGAAGCGAAAGATATTGAATACAAGACCAAGATGCAGAGGGAAGGCGATTGGATTGTAACTGAACCCAATGAGTACCATATGGTAGCCTGTACTATGCCTTCAATATCATTCTCCATGAATTTCAATCTTCCTTCTGAAGAGGAGGCTTATATGGTTGACAACATTAGCCCTCAACCACAAACTTTCTGCAAAGAACGCGGCAGCTTTAAGGAAGCCAATACGAGCTAGAGATATAACGACGTTCGTATCGTGTTGAAAAGTAAATCCAGGCTGAAAAAGAAGCGGAAGGGGACCCATTGGGGCTCAGGCAACAGGCAACATGCCAAGAAGGCAAAGCTATCGACCCTGACATGCCCTACTTTCAACATTTGTCATCTATCGAACAAAGTCTAAATTATAGCATATGGGACTTAAACCCTGCGTCTCGAGTGGTTTTACAAAAAGGTTTGACCTTTACTATACTGTTCATCTTCTATATATGAGTATTTTGCGAAGCAAAATCAGGAAGAGAATGGAACCGACCAAAGCTAGGAATGTAGAGAAGAGAGGGTAGATCAACTATGAGCACCCAATGCATACAATAGTCAGCATTCTCACCAGCAAGTATGAAGTATCGATTTTCTTTATATACTATAGCAGTCTTGGCGGCAGTCCTGACCGTGATTGTGAGGGGGGGTTTCCCAACTCCCGCCGGCAAAAGATCTCATCACACACAGCCCTAAAACTCGCTGGTTTGCCTGACTGCAGGCTTCACAAGCCACAAAAGCTGATAGGCTATCGGAGAATGGTTCTCCCTTCTCGCCATGGCCAGGAAAACAGTCCATTGCTTTGGCTGTGCGCGAAGTAGTGTGATTGTTTCTTATATCGATGATTATGGAAGCAGATTCCGTGGGAATACAATCCAAATGATCTCAAAATCGATCTCAGAAGAGCACATGAGCTAAGATCAAAGCCAAGTCTCAGACTATCATATTTAGCCGTACAACAGCCACCGACCAAGTCAATCTTATAAAGGAAGGGGTGCACGTTTGACCTACAGAACTGCAACTACTACTCATTCTTGTTGGGGTTGTCAGTGGGATCCATCAAGCAGGAGAGCGGTTGTTTGGGGTGATTGCACAGGAAATGAAGCACAACCTCTTCTTAGGCTGAAGGTTCGACTCTATATATATATTATGAACCAAGTCTCGATCCTAAGGAGGATCCAGAGAACGCAGCTGGAACCTGCGTTTGAGCTCAGAGGCTGATGTCCAGTTCCAGCTCATGTCGTCGCCAAGGTCCCCGGCCTCGAGGGAACATACTCAGCAATCATCGACAATCCTGGGAGTTTGATGGACGCTTACAAGATGATTCCTCGTGTAAAGATCATCATCATCGTTGCGATGCCCGTGAACGGGTGGAGGCTAGCACGACCTCTACCGAAATCCCACGGTCGGTCCTCAAGGCACCAGAGGAAGAAGCTGTCGCGCCATAGACCAAAAACAATGAATACCAAGCCCTCGACGACGCGGAAACAGTGGTGTGAGACGACTAAACTATCGTTGGGGATAACAATAGCACAGGAAGTTGCTGATGAAGGGGCCAGCGAGACTGTCAAACAAACGGGTATGACGATTCCCTCAGCCCGCACTTGTCGATATACTTGGACAGCGTCGCTTTGATGAACCTTTGATAGTGCCCTGGCCTTCAAAGAGAAGATGAGTGAGTTTGACCGATTCCAGTCGACCGTCGACCAGAGCATCGTGTGGCTCCGTGATCACGCGACTAATGACGAGGGGGGGCTGACTTATCCACGTCCCGGAGGTAATACATGCCAGATCACGAGACTTATCATCAAAGCAATAGCTTGAGGCAACAAATAACAACATTATCACAAGGACTAGAGAGCGGCGGCAGATATATGGCTTTCCTCTTCGTTACTACCACACAACCACCGCACAGCAATCTCACGCTCACATTCGTGTTCCGACCCGCACTCTTGCCATTGAAGAAATCGCAATGCGATCCCCTGAACCTCAAATCGGCACATAGAAAGATAAAATATCCTATATATAGCATACCTTTCATTATTTACGGGAACTGGCATTTTAGAATTTGTCCACGACCCGGCAGCTCACCAGTGAGGAAGATATATGGGTGTGTGCTCTGCATGTAAGAGGGGCACTTGAAGAATAACTGGTGTATCACGGCTGACCCTCGATTCTAGACGATCCTAGAAGCAACAAGCCTGTTCTATCAGAATGGTTGATGTTTGCGCTGTATTATTGGAGTCCGCCCAGTCAACACGGCCAAAACTGACCATCAAGGCGAGAATTGCTGAGGCCAGGATTAGGGACATGGAGCCTTTGACCAGAGCAAGCCTCAAAGCCGTCATTGCTTTCCTCAACTCTAGACAATTATGACTCGCCACAAAGCCATGGCAACATTTCCTACCGTCACCATCGGCGTATTTGTCCAGATCAGCGTCTGGGAGTCTTGCATCGAGGCAGTCAAAGAGGCTTACGTATGTGCGTGATATATGAGCACACCAATGACTTACCAATGACCCAACTTCCCATAAGTCACGATCCGATGTGGTTTGACAGGGAAAAGCGACTTGTGATATATAAAGCCAAGAGCACCCGAGCAGTGCAGGGTGTGAGGGCGATTCACGGACGGAATTGAACCTTGAAACACAAGCCTGATAAGCCTTGGGTAAAACAACTCGCAACCACCTGCCGTAGGACCATTCCCCCACCATTTTAGCGATCAAGTCTTGATTGAACGCGACCATCTCGTCGAGTTTAAGGTTAAGCTCAAAGATGGCACGATTTGCACCAAGACAGAGGGTACTGCACTCAGAGACATAACCCTGACCTTGTAGCTTCCTATTGGCAGAAGCTCGGAGGTCGACAACGCGCAAATACTATCGGTCCGCATTGAATTACCTCTCTCCACCCAGGCATCATTCTCCATTACCACAGCAATGCTCGGCCTGGCTGGCAAGCATTTTTGGCAAGGTCAGCTACGGTAGGCAGCTTAGATTCCGCTTCCAACGACTAGAGAATGACTAGAAGATATTCGACGAGCAAGAGAGGACGGATGAAGAGATCCGAGCTGCTTATCACGATGCCGTCAGATGAACCCTACGAATTCTTAGTTCTCAACTGAGTACATATGTTGAAAACTAGAGTATCTACAGACCCCTTACAATAAGATCAGAGCAAAACCCCAGATGAAAGAAATTCCAGAAGCTCAAGTCAGATTGGGCCAAACCTCCTCCTCGACAGACCACATTGGGGAAAGATTGATACACAACATCAAAGATCAAGACCTGCCAAACAGTGTTCTGGCACAAGGGAGATACATATATAGATATTCCCACATCGATGACTACCCAACAAGAAGTGGACATCGAAAAGCAAGTGATTGATACTAAACTGCATGAGACTGTCTTCTACTTCTATCATCTAGCGTGTTAAGCGTCAGAGGGCGCCCGATGCAGTTCCATGCAACGGAGGTGAAATCTCTTCTGCTGAAAAGTACCTTATATATGAGCATCGGGACTTACAACCTACGCCTATCCTGGTTGGCTACGAGGGAACAATAGTCCTTTAGCCTCAGATTATTTCTCGGTTTATTATATATATCACGATGACTCACCCCCAAATCCCATTGGGAGTTGATGAGTTAGGTGGAAAGTGGTGCTCGATGGGTTGAGTACCAGCCAATCAACCCTCGCCAAAGATGGATACGCCAGATGGAGCAGACAAGGACTTCTTGGGAAGAATAATCAGTTATGATAAGAAGGCTGCTGGGGGAGAGTGGGCCAACACTGGAAGGATGGGACATGATACTTCGCAGGTGCTCATACACTCGCAGGAAATGGTATTTCCCGATATTGCTCTAAGAAAAATACTTTAGAATAGATTTACATGAACAGAAGTAGTCTAAGTAAGAATAAGAATTAGAACCTTTTTGTGCCCAACATGCTTGCCTTGAACAATGTGAAAATGACAGGTCTCTATGCTAATATTGAGAAGCCTCCTCTTAGCATCTCGGGCATAGCTATTCTTCAGCCACAGGCTGTTGCTTTGGGCAACTCACCTAGAGCTGAGTTGATCTCGAACATTATTTCACACTGGATTATTCTTAGTGCAGTCATTCACGTCTTCGTAGCCCTCATCTCCCCCGAACAAGCCTGTTCTAACCCAAGTAACCTCTCAGTCAGCCAACATAGCTTCTTGTGCTCTTCTCTATGTCTCCACCATCGAGCCCATCTCATTGATAGACCCTCACAAATGCAATATATCTATCATCTCTCTCATCTCAGAGTGCTTCCGCTGGTTTGAGATGAGTCTTGTGGGGATAAGCGCTTGTGACAACAGCGGCTGCTGCGCTGGCAAAGTACTCCTCTCCCTGTCTCACTACTCCTTTGCTGCTTCCATTATTTCTAAACCGTCTCTCAATACATGCTCCCAATCGACGGGAGTCTTTCTTCGTTTTGTTCGCATGTCCATCTAAAACGCTTTCTTTCCTTGGATTGTGCCGTATGGCATCTTTCACAAGCTTGTGTATCTCATAAGTGCGTTCATTATCGCCAAGGCGGTGCTCTTTGAGGAAAGAGAAGTTCTTGAGTCGTCGTATCGCTTCTCTCTTCTTACTCTCAAATATGACTTCGTTCTGTTTTGTTTCTCTATGCGTGGCAGCAGCATCCACCAGTCGCTCAGTGATATTTTCCTTATCCACGTACACAAGGATGTGTAGAATTTTGTATGCCAGCTCGTTCTCTTGGCGAATCTGATGAATCGAAGGACTCCAAGTTTCAAGGATGCTGTTGGAATTGTTGTGTAACCTTTGCCTGTCAAACTCGGGTTCTTTCAGCATGTTCCAGCGCGTTTTTTCAAACTTGAAGCCGTCAAGATATTGGTTGACAGACGTCTCTGTTCTTTGCATGTATGTACCAGCTTGTGAAATAGCAAGTGGCAGGAACTGCAGCTCCTCAAGCAACAAAACAGTATCATCTAGCTCGTCATCACTTATCGATTGAGGCATTGTCGACTCAAGTAATGCCTTGCTTTCTTCTGAAGTCATCATCGAAACAGCTATACCTCTCCGTACGCCGACAAGACTTCCAACAATTGCTTCATCGCGACTGATCCATAAGATAGTGCCATTTGGGCCTTTGGGGATGTAATCCATGATCTTGCTGATGTTTCTTACTGTTGAGCCGACGCCAAAAAGGGACAGGTCATCGGCATTGTCGATTATGAGCAGCCATCTAGGCAACGACTCAACCTTATGCCGTATATTTTGTAGAAGCTCATGCTGAGAACCTTGAGTGTTTATGCCCAGCACACTTGCAATTGAGCCATAATCTCGTACAAAGGTGGCCTCGCTGTCCGCATGAACCCAAAAGACAGAACATTTCCTCTTGCTGTAGCGATTATAGGCGAAATCCAGCGCGATTTGCGTCTTGCTGTCAATTTATGTGAGTGAGGTTCTTGCAGCAGTTTTTAGTGGGCTTACCCAGATCCTCCAAGACCCCAAAGAGCTGCGCTGCGAAAGTCATCGGAAGCCTTGGGCAGAAGTTCCTCAAGTTTTGATGTTATCTCAGTTCGCGGAACAAATTCTTCATTCTTCTCATATGGAAACAAAAAGAACGGTTTCGACTCAAAATGCTGATTGAAGTTGAAGGTTTGATGGGCGTTACCTGTCGCGCTGATCCCTGTCACAACGTTGCTGCCATAGACCGGGTCGTTAAATCTTGGGCCAGCCATTGTAGCTAATATGATATGCTGTTTGAACTGAAAAACATGTTTTCTCTACATGGCTTCGCGATATTAATCAATTCACGCGTCGCACGTCCTGATCTCCCCAGACATATCTGATCAGGTTGTGGCCAATCGACGTGGTCGCCTTGCCGCCCGAGGCCCTGGTCAGGATGCGTAAATTGAGCCTGGATGAAACACTATCATGCTTTTCTATTTCGTCCGTTCCGCGGGCGCTTAAAGCTTCGATTTTCCTCAACTTGACAGAAACCTTGTACCTTTTTCGACATGCAAAGCAGTGGTTGTGAGATCCAATGATTTCTCCACCAAGAAGCCGCAATGACTTCTTAATCGGCATAATATGTGCCCTTCCTCTTGAGCATGAAGCAGTTGGCCATGTTGTCGATGAGTTTTGGGATATCAAGCCTGGAAGAGCGGTCGGTGACACAAACTCATACTCATTCGGCCGAATCGGAGATGACAATGTTGTTCTCGTCATGTCAGGCATGGGTAAGGCCAATGCTGCGAGCACAGCAGCGAGCCTTCACATCAGCTTTCCGAACCTCGAACTTGTTCTGGTGACTGGGATCTGCGGTGGTGTTCCAACGTCTGATTCTAGTGCAGAGCTTTTGCTGGGCGATGTTGTAATTAGCAAGGCTGTCGTCGAATACGATTTTTTCCCCAACAAAGTTAGGAGCAAGAGCTCCATCGATGATCGGTTAGCAAGACCGACGAGACATGTACGCGGTTTCGTTGCGCGTTTCGAGACAAACAGACTCCGCGACGCGCTTGAAGACAGGTCAGCTATCATCTTGGAAGAGCTTCAATCACGGGCCGAAGTGAAGGGCCAAGCTTCGGTCTACCGATATCCTGGAGCAGACAAGGACTGTCTATTTATTCCCTCATATCGACACAGGCATCAATCGGACTGTGATATTTGCACCTCGGAATCTGAAGAGGTGTGCGACGCAAGTCGCAAGATTTCGTGCTCCGAGCTTGGATGCGATGAGAAACAGCTCATCGCCCGAAAGCGCCTCGACCAGAATTGGAAACTCCAAAATGCAGGTCGCGAGAAAGAGGCTCAAGCCCCATTCGTGTTTGTCGGCCATTTCGGTTCGGGAGACACTGTCCTCAAATCAGGCGAAGAGCGCGATAGACTTGCACGAGCGCATGATATCGTCGCATTCGAGATGGAGGGTGCTGGCGTCTGGGACGAGGTCCCGTGCATTATCATCAAGGGTGTATGTGACTACGCCGATAGCCATAAGAATAAGGGATGGCAGAACTTCGCGGCGGCAACAGCGGCTGCGGTAACGAAGGCGCTCATTGAAGAGTATCCCAAGACTGACAAACCCAGAAAGCAAATTGATGATAGCAGCCGAGCCGAGAGCGAGGAAAGTAGTGAAGTCGGAAGGGATGCGCCAATATTTTATGCCGACGTGTCGAAGTGCAATATTTTCACTGGATTTCATTCAAGTGGTGGAACGCAAATTATCAATTTTGGATGAAAGCGGAGGTCTCTGTAATAATGTTAAGAGGTGGAATGAAGGCACAGTTGGTACACCACATCATGTCACCGTTGGCAAGAAAGACTTAAGATGTAAGATGAGTATAACATGATACTCGAAATGCTTCATAGATTTCATAACTATTTAAAAGTGCCATTCATGACACAGCTAGACCATTTCATATTCCATATCCGATTCATTTAAGCATCCTGCTTTCGCTGGTGCTCGAGCTCAATGCCAGTGGCGTGGCTCTCCTCAGCATATCGGTGCTTCTCATCACGAGCCTGGTCAAGCTCCTCGGCGTTCTTGTTACCGTGAAGACCGATCTTGTACCAGGGAAGTGCGAAGAGCTCATCCATGTTCTCAAGGCTTCGTCCACTGGTCTCGGGAACGGAGAACCAAACCCAGACACCACCGACGAAGGTAACAGCGGCAAAGCACCAGAAGGTTCCCTTGGGAGAGATACCGCCCTCGGAAACAGACAGAAGCATGTTAGGCACAGCGCGGGAGTTTCCGTACTGGTTGGCGAAGTGGAGAGTCATAGCCCAAGATGTAGCGAGGGCACGGATGCGCAGAGGGAACAGCTCGGCAGTCAGGAGGTACTGCATAGAGTTCCAGCCGAGAGCCCAACCGAAACCAGAGACGTAGATCATGGCGATGGCGCCACGAGAAGCACCCTTGTCGCTCTCGGGGAGAACAAAGTCCTCGATGACACCGAGCTGGGGGATCTTGGTGAGGAAAGCGGCGACGTAGATCATGGCAATGGTCTGGAGAGTGATACCGATGAGAAGAGCGCGCTTTCGGCCGATGACATCAACGAGGAAGAGAGCGCAGATAACAGCGGCGATGAGCTTGACGATACCGAAGACAGCGGTGACGAGAAGACCCTCCTGCTTTCCGACAATGCCCATGATCTTGAACAGGTCGGGAGCATAAAGGGTGATGGAACCAGCGCCGGACCACTGAGAAAGGAATTGAACCATAGAGGACATGTAGAGACGGTACAAGTTGCTGGGAACAAAGATGAGCTCCTTAATCTTGCCAAGGAAGCCAACACCCTTGGTAGCTTCGAGCTCATGGTCAAGAGCAGCCTGGATCTCAGTGATCTGGTGAACAATGTACTCTCCATCAGCGGGTTGCTGTCGGAGACGGCCAAGCACGCGGGCGGCTTCGTCGGGGCGGCCTTCCTTGACGAGATATCGGGGGGACTCGGATTGGAAGAAGCTGAGGATGAAGATGATGCCGGACATCATGATGTGAAGACTGGTGGGGACGAGCCATTGGTTGTGAGAGTCGTCGGGGAGGTTGAGATGGCAGCCGTAGTTTGTGAAGTAAGCGAGAACGATACCGATGTACACGGCGCCCTGAACTGTTAGATGATGCATATGTGAGAGGTAAGGGGAGTAGACTTACAGTGAACATGCAAGAGCAGAGACCTCGGACAGCAGCGGGGGCAATCTCAGCAATGTAGACAGGTCCAACGACAGGAGTCTGACCGACACCAAGACCACAGATGAAGCGACCAGCATAGATAGCACCGAGGTTTCCGTTGACACCACCGATCATGAAGATAACAATACCAAGAGCCCAGAGGGTGCAAAGAACACGAGTAGCCCAGATACGACCGATACGATCACAAATCATGAAAGCACTACACCAGTCAGCACCCAAATTCCCAGTCATTAGCAGAGAGGATGACGTACATCAGAGCACCACCAACGGAACCGATTTGAACCATAGCAGAGACATTGGCCTTGATATTAGCCTGCTGAACGGAAGAATAAGAATCATAGTGGATAGTCTCCTGGAAGTCCTTGCTGTTGAACGAGCCAGAAATGAGACCCTCGTCAATACCTCGAGCCGCACCGAGCAGAGCAAACGACACAACGGCAAACCAGAGACGCCAGTTGAAAGCGCCGGCTGGTTCGCCCAGGTCCTTCAGCTTGAAGATGTTGACGGGTTTCTTGACGCCTCCAGCCATGATGAAATTGCCCTTGGTAAGAGATATAAGGGTAAAAGAAGAAGAAGATGGACAGAAAGTGCCTGGTGTAGGAAAAGGGAGAGGGGCAAGAGGAATCTGGGGATCCTTTTATACAAATTGCAATGATAGTTTCCCCACGAGATTTGCAGGTTTGATCTGGTTACCCCGCTCTTCTCTCCGGACTTCGTTACACCGAACCCAAACACTAAACTTTCCCCATCCCTCAAATAAACAACATGATGATCACTAACCGTCCTCGAAAATGTCATCCAATAGCGGAGTCTCCATCGTTTGGGGCACTAGAACGTTACAGCGGCCGTGGAGAAACCTCTCACAGGAAAAGAGGAAATGTGGAGGAGGGTTGTTAGCAATGACGCTAGCATCCATCTTTTGTTCGCCGAGTGCCTCGACCCCCCTTCACGTTCAGAAAAGGGAAAGTCTGACATCAATTATCACGGCAATGGCTTTCGTTACTAACACAGCTAGGTATGTACTGTAGTAGGGCATGGATGCCCAGGCGCTACCGGCAAGTTTACCACGTTTTTCGCCAAGGGCCAAGGCTTTGCCAATGCAAATCGTCCCGGCTGGGCATTCAACTTCAATTGGAGGCGGGAATAGCAGCGAGGTCTTGTTCCCCAATACCAAGAGAATTCATTCAACTACGGAGTATAACAGTGACAGTTCGTTGGAATAACTGCCGTTGCATTGGAAGCTCTTAGCGACATTGCTTAAAGAATGGGCCTGGTCCAGAATCTCTCCGCAATCATGCCATGCCACGCGCGCCCACAGACAAATAGCAGAGACGATCACTCCGCATTCCCCCGCAGGTTTTTCACATCTCACAGTGAGATCTTCAGAATATTAAGCATACAAACAAAGTGTAAAGTTTAGCTTAAAGCAAATAAAGCTAGAGGCCGGGCTCCCCCTGGTATCTTCAAGGATCATCTCCGTTCGTTTGGGTGGTCTTTAGTAAAAGTTTCGGACCGGTTCTTTTTCTACGACCGATGGACTCCACTGGCCGGGAGCGTATTCCTCTATTCAGACTCGTTCGTGTGGGTTGGTCGAGTAATTGGTCGAGTAAGGATGACATTCACTGCATTCTAGATGGCTGGAGTGATACCCACTACCTCCAGGCTGCCAGATAAACTCCCTGAATACCCCAGGAGCCCCCCGTCTAATACGGTGAGCAGACCCCATAACTTAACTTGTCCTCGCTTGCAATGTGAACTCGTCTCGTCTTTCGCGTCGCCTTCCCCAATATGGCTAGCCATCCGGAGGCGACTTGAACCTCAACTACCCCATGAGGATTTGGAGCTGCTGATGATAAAGAATTTGCGTTATGCGGAGATGACATGATGCCAAGGTGAATAAATTGGGGAATGAATTCTCTTCTCTTCATGGGTTTTGTTCTCACGTCCAGTATCGACCCCAAATCTTGTACTCATCCTGAGAACCACGGAACTGGAACTGTACCTCTGTAATGTCCTGGAAACCCTCCTTCATCTGTGGCGGTTTGAACCTGCTCGCGAAACCGGTGAACGCCATCTTGGGTAAGATCTGTCTTGACTCGGGATTCAATGTCGTGTTTAGCGCCCGCACAGCATTGTTGTGTTCGCAGACTTGGAGAGGAGTTTTGAACCACACACAACGGATAGAGATGCCGAATTTCTTGGCAAGCTCTACCCAAATGGTCCTGGTCTCTGGATCGGCATTGGTATTATCTGCAAAGGGACCGTGTTAGCGCGCCTCTGGGTGAGGGGGTGGTGTGGGAATGGGGTAGTCCTGGGGTAGCAGAATTTGGAGAAAAACGCACCTATGGCAATGGATTCACCCGCTTGGAGATGCTCCCTCGCCGCCTGCACGCACTTGTCGCGTGTCTTGAGCTGGTCCTGGTTGATGCGCTCGTACCCCAGAGGCTTGAGGGATTTCCAGTAAAACGTGGATTTGCCAGCCCCGGGTGGCCCACAGAATAAGATGATGTCCTTGTCGTTAGTCCTGTCAAAGGTCACCACGGAGTTCCCCGATTCAGCATCGTCGACGAAGGGATGCTCGGACAAGTCGAATTCACGAGCGAAACTCCGAGGCTTCTGGCCGAGAAAGAACTCCTCCGGCGTCTGGTATCGTATTCCGACGTTGTGCGCAAAGTTTCTGTCCGAGCAGCTAAAGTCTTTGGCTGCGGCCGCCACGCCGTCTGGACCTTTCCCCAACATTGCGGTGCGGCCCCCTGCATCCCCGACAAATACGCTATTCCCCAGATCTATCTCGGATTCCGAGATGTCGTAGTCGTCGCAAAGCTCCTTCCACATACCTGTTCTCGGTTTTCGATATATATCATGCTCGGTCGCCGCGTAGACGGATGTCGGAAGGTTCAAACTATTGAGGACGGCGCTGCATTTCTGTTTAAATTCGGAAACTCGCTTCTGCGCAGTGGCTTTGGGTGCTTTGGATTTGGGATCGAAGTGTAGCGTCAACCCTGCCTGGTTCGACAAGATGACGACTCGATATCCATCTTGATACAGCTCTCGAAGTTTGGCGGGGACCGAGTTGTCCCACCATTTCCAGTCTGTCCCGCTGCTTGCATGCTTCTTGCCTGAGGCTGTGGAGATGAGTGTCGAGTCTAGATCAAAAGCCGCTATCTTCCTCCTCTTTATTGTTCTGTCTTCTTTAACTCCATCAAATCGGCCGACCAGGAGAGTCGCAGGGGTATCGTCATTGGGACTTCGCTCAGACCAGACAGTAGGATCTTTGGGTTTCTGCGACGCTGGAGTAAAGAAGTTTGCTACAGCGGTCTCTAGATAGGGCATGTTAGCTAGTCGTCCAACAATAACATGCGGTGGCATGGAAATAACGCTGATTCTGGGATTGCGCACTCACTGGTTGTGCCGCTCTGAAGTTTGCGCTTGAGGGGCGGCGGAGAAACAGCAGCATCAGAGGCTTTGCGCTTGGGAATGTCGCTTGAAGGCATATTTGCGCTGGCCACAGCGGTTGCATCTGGCTGTGTTGTGATATGTCGTTGTTGTTGTTGAGGGACGTTGAATGCCGAGGCGTTAGTCGGGTTCAGCAGCCAACCACGAAAGCCACGCCAAGCCAGCTAAATGCAAGCACTTAACCTACAGTCTTGCAGTTGACACGGAATATCCGAACAAATATTCATAAATTCAGGTAACTAATGCCAAAAACACATGAAATAAATTTCTTCCATCCTAATTTGCACAGTTTTGAAACTTCAGCACTCCTTATCTGTTTGGTGATGAATCAGATCTCAATGAAACTAAAGGTTGGACCCTGAATTCGAGCGCGTAATTAGCTTGGATTTGGTCCTGACGCGTGAAGAATCGCGAAGTCACGTGCCGGCGAACAAAGTGAAGCTTCAAAGCTCTGGTGGGGTACTTTGAATGCAATGTTCATCAACAGTCAAAGTTATCCCGTCTGAACACATCAAATGGCATCACCTGAGTGACATACTAGTCTTTGTATAATATTTCGAACACACCGCACAGCGACCGTTTGAACTTGACGAACCAACTGGCGTCAATTGACAAGTAGTCAAAGACATACCCCCTCACCTGCTTCATGGGCCAACTTCTCCCTCAAGCATCAACCTCTAACCACGATCATCGTCGCAATACCAGCATAAACTAAGAAGAGAACACAAAATTTATATTCAACACAATCGGGGACAAACGGTTTTCTTTGCTCTTGCCAAAATGCACGAGATATTCCTCACAGCCCTCATCGAGGACAAAGACTTCACCTCAGCATGCGCAGTCCTCGGCGGTCTCACAAACATGGACCCATGGCAATCAATTCAGCGCGTCCTCTACTTCCAAGGCCCTCAACGCCCCACGGGTATCTCAAATCAGAGCTCTATAGAAAAGCCCATACGCAATAACAATGGGTTTCTTTGGAAAGAGCTCCATCAAAACTTGACACGGCAATCCTTCATACTGCAAACGCGATATGATGTACTCAAAGATCGCGACATGGGAGCCAATGCGTCGCCGATGGATCTTGATGCGACGCAGGGTATCTTGAGATGGACGGATTTTCCTGATCCGCCGCGTGGACAGCCTTTGCTTACACAGCGGAAGAAGGTTGAGCTTTGGGATCAGAAGAAGTTGCCTTCAGTCATGCGCGACAACAACCACATGTAAGAGGACTTACCCTTCCACTGTGCAATTGTCTCTGACACAATGCAGATTTAAGACAGAAACAATCGAGGAAGTTTACCGCTTCTACAGAGATGACATCGAGTTCTGTCTCACACGCCACTACTTCCTCCAACCCCTAGAACACTACACTCCCATGGAATCAAAACAGCAATCTACCATCCCGATGGCCAGTCTACCGCCCTGGGAATCCCTCACACCCGTCGATCAGCAGAAGCGATGGTTCCTCCAGGTCAAGGCACATGTCGTCCAGGATAACAAGCCGGACGAGATTCGCAAGGCCCAAGATCAACTGCTATCTGTGCGTAGAGAGCTCGACGGCGTTTTCGAGTTCCGGGGCATCGATCGCAAGGTTCACGATACCAGGGTTATGCAGCAGATGCAGGGGGTTCAGCAGTTGCCGCAGAAGGTGAAGGTTGGGAAGTAGAATGTCCACAAGCAGAAGAAGCCGCGCATGCGGTATTGAAGACTGCCCACTTCCCGCTTCTTGGCGGGGCACTGACTGAATTTCGGGCAGAGACATGGGGGCACGTAGCATACAATAATGTTACACTCAATTAATAGATGATACCCGGTATGATAGACGGTATGGTCGCTACCTATCACTTCCTTCTGATCTCATCAAACCGCTCAGCTGGCTATGCTTTCTTGTTCTGATTCCACTATGTCGTGGCGATACCCATGCTTTCACCTAGCTCCATTTATAACCCCTCACATACGCTTCACTTGTTCTTCCACGCCTGATCCGCATCTACACAAGTTAGCGCAATCCCTCATTGACCCATTCATACTCACCCTCATGAACAACCGGAGTAGGAATATCCTTCCTCGCCTCCTTCTTAACCCTCCAATCCGTCCCAAACTTCCGATCCCTCTCCCCCACGTGCTTCTCAAAGTCAAATTGTCCATCCGCTGTAAAACTCGTCATGAGCTTCGGCTCCCCCAACGGTAGCGTATCACCTCGATCTGTCTGCCACAAATGATACACTTTCCCGTATAACTGCACAACTTGGTCCATCTCGTAGTTCTCAGCTACTTGCCATGCGCTCTCGGGCACCGCGCGGTTCGGCATTATGAGCATTCCGGACTTCACTTCGTAGACGTGCGAGTGCCAGAGCTTGCGCTCTTCCTTGTCGAGGGTTTCGTAGAGTTTAGGGGTTATCATGTATTCGATGCCGATGAGGCGCGCGTTGGGCTCGTCGGAGTCGTAGAGGAGACATTGGCGGACGTCCTCGTCTGCTGGGGTTAGTCATTGAGTTGGGAGGATGGCAATCGACGTACTTAGATGGGCGCAGTAGTGATTTGTTTCAACGAAGCGAGAGGGATCATCGGCGTATGCGTGAAAGGCGTTGAGATGAGCGCAGATATGCTTCACCGGTCGAAACTCCTACTATCGAATGAGTTGCAGCTCTTCAACCACTCTAGAGAGGTGACTTGCCTGCGTCACAGCAGCACCAGCAGTGAGGACCTGATTCTTGGCCGAAAGGGGCTTTCCCATGCCCTCATTTGTAACAGGAATTTTGTTTTCTTCAGCCATCTCGAATGTCGTCAAGTTAAGATTTTGCGATCGTCAGATCTGAGTGTGACGGTTAACGGCTGGTGCCTCTAAATATAGCCCGATCAGGATTACGTCATAGACTGATGCGAGTTTGTCTGATACAAAGGATGCTTCATTGGGATTTCTTGCGGTACGTAAATATGAGATTCTTGGAGGTTCATTGAAGCGTCAGTATGACGAGGTGATGACTTCTCCAGCCGAGCAAGAAAATACCGGACCTTATTGCAGGATATCAAAATAAACTCAGAAAAAGATGTCCTAAATCTATCCTAAATTTATGTAAACTTACCTAAGCCTTTTTATCATTTAGGGTCAAGGTCCTGAGTTTTCTTTCCTCTCCGAGCCCGGAAGATGGAGGCTCGGCGCCGAATGATCCACTTTCTCGGTCGGTCATTGCGGGGGCTGGTCCGGCGACTGGAGGTTACCCTGAAGTTTTGCAGATTATCGCGATATCTTTCTCTTTCTCGTTAGTATAGACACGTAAAAGCATGAAATTAATACAGCAGTATTAAATTTACTTCTTGGTGTATTGGATGTTTGCGTTTCTGTTAGAATGAGATTCACATCATAAGAAGCCGACCATTTGTCGTCATCTCAACTTCTTACTGATACTATCCAAAATGGAACTTGGTCATTAGTTTTAGACGTCAATTTATCGATCTAGTCTAAAACAACTGGTTATGGTAGGTATCTACTTTACTATTACAAGAAGTCTGCCCATAGCAAGAAATTCTCAATAGCAACAATCCTCTACCAATAGTCATCCAAACAGACATTCTGTCGTACTTGGTCCAAAGTATTCTAGGATGCTCTGTGTCCAATGCGTATCACAAACTCCAAACTGCAAAACTCAAGATCTAGCCGCTCACAAGCCTACTTGCGGGCGAATCGTCGCCTACGCTCCTCTAGCTCCTGCTGCTCCTTCTCAAGACGGGTCATCTCATCAGTCCAGGGCTTAGCCTGCATGTAGTAAAAGTCGTTGAGCGCATCCTCTCGATCACGCTCATCCTCGATGGCCAGGACCTTCTTGTAGGTCTCTTGGACCGCGTCGGCCATAGGAGCTTGAACCTTAGCATCTGCACCAGCGTCCTCAACGCCAGCTTCCTCGTAGGGGACCATACCAATGTCGGTAGGGTTATGAATGAACTCACTCGGCTTATAGGCAACCATACCAGCACCGGTAGGGGTAGGGCTGAGTGCAATCTCAGTCATCCCAGGGTTGGCCATGCCAGCACCCATGCCAGCACCAGTGGGACTGGGTGTGAACTCAGTGGCCTGTGGGTTGAAAGTAAGGGTCGATCGACGACGGGTAGCTAGGGTGGGAACCTCCTTGGGAGAAGGGCTGAGCATCTCACCCAGGGAGCCGATACGCTGAGGTTGATGAAAAACAACAGTCTGCGGGTCATGAGCAGTAGGAGACTGCACAAAGTCCGGGTTGATGGGCTCGGCATGGTGAGGGACCATGTGCTGAACAGGGGGGTAACCAAGAGCCTGGTCATGAGGGACGACAGACTCAGGATGGTTGTAGACCATAGATTGAGCTGAAGGTGGGCCAATAGGCTCAGGGAGGAATCCAGGAACGATTGGCTTGGGATGATATGGGATAATGGGCTGAACAAAGTCAGGGCTGGGGGTGTTGATCGCATGATGAGGTGTCATACGAAGTCGGGTCAGAACATCGATGGGCTGAAGGTGCTCAGGGCCTACATACTGAGGGAAAGTAGAGTTGAGAGCCTGGTACAGGGTGCTATACTCCATAAAGGGTGTAGGTGCCGGGCCATCTGAAGCTGTAGGAGTGCGATTATCGCGAAGATAGAGCATACGGCGCGGAGGAGCAATGGGAGAAGGGACATACGGAGACTCGCCATCATCAGTAAAGGTCTCACCGGGGAAGTCATCTGCATCCTCAGGCTCGAGAATACCGCCTGGGTAGTGATCCACATTAGTCTCAGTGTCATCGCCATCCTTGGGTTCAGCAGGATCAACAGGAGACATGAATCCGCCAAGAAGACGGACATGTCCAGGAGGCACATCCTCCCGAGGGGGGGCAACGGAGGGTTGAAGACCCAAGGGCAGGTTGGAGTAGTTGGGAACCATGTTGATACCTTCAGACTGGGAAGATGGGAGAGACAGGGGAGTGACTGTCTGAAGTTCGAGAGGGTTAGTCGTGGAAGGACTAGATGTCTCGGGCTGAATGTCGTTGGTAGGCACAAGGTTGTCACCCTTGAGGATAGAAAGACGGCCAGACATGGTAAAGGTAGTCAAGAGACTCTGCGGGTTGTTTGTTGTTTAGTTTTTCAGTATGGTAGGGTTGTTGATGAGGCTGCGGTAGTGTTTGTTGATAGTTGTCAAGATAGAAGAAGGATGAAGAGTAGATGGAATGAGATGTGAATTGCTCGGAAGCTTGTGAGGAGGGAAGAAGAAGAAGAAGAAGAAGATTGAGATCGAGACTGAACTTGAAATTATAAAGGATGGATTTGTCCTTCACTGGCAGCCCTCGAGATGCTCGAGTACCACTGCGAAATGGACTCGGCAGCTAAAGGGGGGAATGCATCACATTGGAGCCGTTGCCAGTGCTCTCCTTTCTGTTCAAGTGGAAGCCTAAATTTGTATCACATATATGACAGTGGCAGCTATATCGATTTCCATTCATTGGGTTCCTCAAGCAGGAAGAACCTACCGTTTGCTGATAGCCATCGAACGCGATCGCTTTGATGCTTGCAGTGGCAGGCCATCGAGGTTAGTAAACGAATATTCCAAATCAATCAACATGGAAGAGTATGGAGGTGGAGCTCGTTAGTATGAAGTAAATTGAGTGATATGTTATTCTCATTGAGATAGATAAAAGAGTGACGACCTGGAAGTCAACATCGTCAAGTTGATCCAGGTCCTGGGACGATTGACCACGTCTCCCCTGTAAACACCAACGACCCATCTTGTCTCAATTTCTCAGGATCAAGATAAATCTTCACTTCCACATTCGTCTTGTCAACATTTGACACTCTCGCAATTAAATAAATCTTAGGCGACGTCGCCGGCGAAAGAGTCGTATTAGAATTCTCCTGCATCTGCACAACCCATCAATTTAAATCCCAAAATGAAAAACTGTGAGCACCTACCCGTTGATACTGTCTCTTACTCATGTAAAACGGTGTTCGGTTATGTCCCGTTGTAGACTTGACTTCGATCAAGAACAACGGCTTTTTATTCTGCCAGGCTGTTTTGTCAAGGTACCCTTTGTCCGCCAGGTGATTCGTCAATATCCGCTTTCGGTCATAGTATACAATGTCGGCGGTCTCTTGGGCGGTCCAGGGGAGCATGTCCGAGTAGTCGGGATGGATGGTGATGAACTTTCGCATTTGGCTTTGCCAATTGTCGCGACTGAAGCGAGGTAGGGGAGGATCCAGGTTGCGAAGAAGCTCAAAGACCTGTGATCGTGTAAGTATTGTTTGTCAAGATAATAAGTAGTGGTAACTTACAAATAGTTCACCAAGAGCTCCAATTCGCATGTCTCGTTCAGGAAGACCATGCGACCGGAATTGTCGCGATAGCTCAACCTCTTCTTCATCTACTTCTGGCAATGCACCAAAGAGCCCCGACATATCATAAGCACCCTTACTAGGCAGTGTCGCAGTGTTTGCCGCAGAAATGACATTGTTGACTAGTCTTAGGTATTCTTCTTCGTCTTCGATGGTAGGATGTTGTGATGCTTCGCCAAAACTCTGGAATAAGAACGCTGAACTGGGCTGTGCCGTAGGGGAAGAGCCAAAGATAAATGCTGGCTGACTTGCTGATCTTGGCGTCGATTGCAAGGACTCATGTCTGCCTGTGTTCCGATGAGCATTTGATGATGTTCGCCTGTTTTGGCGGAAGTACTCGGCCGTGGACGAAGTTGGGGTGAACAGTCGTCGTCCAGTGATGGATGAGTTTGAAGTCGCTGGACTTCGCTGTCGAACAGGGAGGTCAGATAGTCTTGGAGGAGATCTTAAGTTGTCGAATGTTTGAAGCATAGAGTCTTCATCGCTTGAAATATCGTCTTCATGAATCTCTGGCTGTGCCAGAAATCGAGCAATGGGGTCTTCCTCCGCCTCGTGAGAGGCCGTCCCGTCGTTTGTCTCCTGGACTTCATGATACACAGTGGCATCATGCATATCCTCCTCTTCGTGACCGACATGCTCTCCCCCAGTTGCATCTCCAGCCTCCTCAGTCGCTTGGCGACACCAGCCTTGAGGGATATCCACGTCGACAACACCCTCTGCCTCCAGAATCTGCGACATGTTGATGAGAGGTGCATTGAGGACGGCGCTAACGATCTGAACAGCTTTGGAGCCAGCATGCTTGACTTGTAAAGTAACAGGGTCTGTCATCATCCATTCGAGGAACCGTCTTGGAAGAGTCGAAAAGTAACAGAATCCTTGTGTTTTTGGATCACGTGGTACGTAAATCTTGAGGCCGCTGCCATCTTCGCGTATGTGGAGCTCACTCCTATCTTGTACATGCACCAGGCCATGGCCATCCTGTGACAAATGGAGTTCGGAGGAGATGCCATCCGTTTCGTAGACCTGTGCAACCATGAGGGTCCAGTAAAGCTCCGAGCTGTCTTCTGAAGTCCGAGGACTGTTAAAATGTACCGCGATTCTGTAGAAGCATTCAGTAGCTATGAATAGGGTCTTTAGCATGGAACTTACCTGAACAGACCAGCTGCCTTTTGCCTGATCTCCCTGTCCGGGTACTGCAGCTCGTCCATTCGTCCACCCGCCACAGTAGAGATCTCCCGCACCGAAGTAGACAAATACCGATTTTCCAGGTCAAGCCATGAAAGAAATGGCCGCAAGCGACGAACCTCATCCAGCGTAAAGTCAAGCATCTTGGCCTGAGGAGCGAAGATATCACCCAGAGCCTTTCGGTCGGCAATAGCGAATTGTGTCCTACCAGAATGCAACTTCACTGACTTATTCGGATACCTCACAGGAAAAACC